CACTGAGCAGCAGCGCTCACTCTCTAGGCAGGGCATTCTGAACCGTACGTTGCTATGGCACAATCTTTTTGTACTCTGTGAATATGTATTACTCTCCTTGGCTAATAGAGAGCTGATGACCTAGAGCCAGGCAGGATTTTGAGGGAGCGAGGACACTGGGAGGAGGGAGGGATTCACAGGCATCTCGGGAGTGGCGAGGAGATTCTGAGAAAACAGGAGATGAACATGCCCTACTGAGGTAAGGTTCTGAGCCACATGATGGAAATTAGATGAAAATGTGGGTTAATTAAAGTTATCAGTCCCGCTTAGTAACAAGCCTAAGATATCGACCCAGCATTTATAATTTGTATTGAGTCTCTGTATGGGTATTTGGGAGCTGGCTGGTGGGTCAGAGCGGATGGGTCTACCTGCATTGTATGAAAATGCAGCTGAGCATGCATGCATTAATTCCTTTCTGCTGCTGACTGGATGTGAGGTGATGCCATCTGAAGCTCCTGCTGCTTGGACTTCCTTGCTACCAGTGACTGCCACTTGGAATTGTGGACTAGACTATACCCTTTCTCCCATAAGTGGCGTTTTTTTTGCCACTGTGGTTTATCTGCAACAGAAAACTAGGGAAGCCATGTAGTTAGCACCCTGGTTGTGATGAAAAGACTTTCCTGGGACTTTTCCCAAGCAATCCAAGCCAAACCCATGCTCTAGGACACCTTTAATCTGCCATTTCTGATTTTGGATTAGAATTGTGTTTTTCTAGGTATCCTAAAATCAGAATTCTGTAGCACCAAATCTATAGTTTGTGGTCCACTTAAGTGCTCTGTTCAGATTTTTATTTTTTTTATTTCAAAATAATTACAGACTGCAAGAAAATCGCCAAGACAGTAACACAAGCTTCAGGTACCATTCACTCAATACCTTTAATTGTGATACCTTACTAAAAGATATTAGTGTGCATGTACACACGTGTGTGTATGTGTGCACGTGTGTGTTTTATTGGGAGTTGAATCCAGGGCCTCCCACATGCCAACCAAGTCCTCTATCCTTGAACTAAACATCCAGCCTTGAGAAGGTTAATCTTGACTGACAATGCGATTGCACTGAGTTTAGAAAGCACTCTTGTGGGCATGTCTATGGAGATGTTTCAGGAAAAGCTAGAGACATAGCTGATGGAAAAAGACCCAGCCTGAATGTAAGAGGCACCGTACCATAGACTGAGGGGTCAGACAGATTAAAGTGTGATGAGGAGCCAGAGACATCGCTCCCAAACAAGTCACTGGTGTCAGATCTGTGGACATGAGACTCCAGACACACGTTCTGTCTTCGCCTGTCTCTCTGTCTCTGCCTCTGCCTCTCTCTTCCCTCTGTATGTGTTTCTTCATGTACTTGTGTTATGTGCCGGCTTTTACAGGGTTTCTAGAGATTCGAACTCAGGTCCTCATGCTTACATGCCACGTGCTTTTATCCACTGAGGCCGGGAACTCCCAGGTTTGTAGTCTCACATTGGGCTGCATCGTGGATCCTTCTTGAACTGAAGCTTCCAGACTTTTAGACTGAGTTGTTAGTGGGTTCTCTGACTTTTAGCCCACAGACGACCATTACTGAACCATACATCTTCCAACTGTGTTAGCCAATCCCAAAGAAATTCCCTTTTATAGTTACACATGTATACTACTGTTTTGTCTTAGCTATACTCTGACAAAAACAATGTAGATAGGATAGGAGGGTTTGCTCTGGCTCACAGTCCAGATATGCAGTCCATCACAGCGGGGAAATCAAGGCAGCAGGACCGTCCAGCAGCTAGCCACGGTACACCCATAGTCAGGAAGCGCAGATGCCATGGGTGTATGCTAGCGCCCTGCTCCCTTCCTTTTCCCTTTGTGTACAGCCTTTGACCCTAGCCTAGGGAATGGTGCCACTCACAATGGGTGGGTCTTCTCACCCCAGTTTTCCCATGAACATCTTGCTGGCCCCCTTTAGTTTTATTTGCTCGTGGCTGACCCTATACCGCAGCTGTTTCCTCCTCCACTCCGGGTTCCCTGACACGCCCATCTCTAAGATGCTTTTCCCAAGTTGCCCAGCATCCACACTATTAATCATTCCTTTTCCTACTCTTCTATGTAATGTGTTGATTCATCCTAATGTATGGCCTCAGAAACTGCTCTGGCCCCCTCTATTACCTTAGATGGCTTTAATGTCATTGTACCCTCTAGATTTCCCTTTACAGCTGGAAGGCTGTCAAGTATGTGCCTGAATTCCAGAACTTAGGAGATGAGGATGGGAAAGTTGTAAGTTCTATGCTATCTTACGCTACACATGGAGTCCCAGGCTGGCCTTCACTATAGACAGAACCCGAGCCCTGTCTCAGACAACTAAACCAAACCAAACCAAACAAAAACAACCCCCACAGCTCCCAACAACCCTCCCCCATATAAAACTCAAATGAGAGGTGAGGCTGCGGTGGCTAAAATAGGCGATGTTGGGAATTTCCCAGGGCCATTTTCACACCCTCTGCTGATTCGTGTTTTTTTTTAAAAAAAATTCTAATTTATTGATTACATTATGTGTACGCGTGTGTTTGTGTGACAGTACATGTATGTGAGTGCAGGTACCCTTGAGATCCAGTAGGGGGCATCAGATCCTCTTGGCCCAGAATTACAGACAGTTGTGAGCTGCCATATCAGTGCTGGGTACTGAATTTAGGTCCTCTGCAAGAAGAGCCAGTGCACCTAGCCACTGAGTCATCTCTGTAGCCTGCACTTTCTGTTGGACAGGAGGTAGGACTTTTTCCAGGAGCCTATGGATTTTTTTTCACTTTTTTTTGTCTAAACATACTTTGGGTTTTTGTTTTGTTTTTGCACTCCTGAATTTCCTCCCTCGGTTGCTTCTTCTTCTGTCTGGGTTCAAGTGACAGACTCTTGCTGGGCAGTGGTGGCACACGCCTTTAATCCCAGCACTCGGGAGGCAGAGACAGGCGGATCTCTGTGAATTTAAGACCAGCCTGGTCTACAAGAGCTAGTTCCAGGACAGGCTCTAAAGCTACAGAGAAACCCTGTCACAAGAAACCCTGACAAAAAATTTACAGTATCTTGTGGAGCGTCTTCTGTTTTTCTTTTTTTAAAAAAAATATTGTTGCCGGGTGATGGTGGCACACACCTTTAATCCCAGCACTTGAGAGCAGAGGCAGGCAGATCTCTGTGAATTCGAGGCCAGCCTGGTATAGAAAAGCTAATTCCAGAACAGGCTCCAAAGCTACAGAGAAACCTTGTCTAGAAAAAAAAAATAAAAAATATTGTGTATATGTGTGTGTGCAAGTGTGTGCACCTGTGTATGTGACACTTGCTTGTATACTGCATTTACATGTATGTACATATGTATGGTATTCATACATGCGTGCCTATGTGTGAATGTAACTGTACATTCATGTTTGTGGGTGTGCTTGTAATCGTGCACCAAGGAGGATGTCAAGTACTGTCCCTTGACACCTGCCTTATTCCCGTGAGACTGGATCCCCCAAAGAACCTGCAGTTGTCTCCTGTTTCCACACACCACCCCTACCCCTGCACTGGGATTTTGGGGCATGAACAACCACATTCCACATCCATTTTTCTTTGGGGTGTTAGCAGTTGAACATATGTCTCTGTGCTGCCGTAGCAGGAGCTCTGCTCATGGAGCCATCTCCCCAGCCTTCTTCAATGCTTTTTACCATGAAACAGTCTAATTCAGGGTGCTGTGGCGTCATTGGTAGAGTAAGCGTTTCTCTGGCATGCACAAAGGCCTGGGTTACAAGCCCAACATAGCAGAGACCAAGAGTGTTGATGCATGCCTTCAAGAATGGTCTACAGGGGTGGTGGAGGCAGAGGGGCCGGAAGTTCAAGGTTGTTCTTAGGTACTTACCCCATCTGAGGCCATCTTAGAATATTTAAGAACCTATCTCACAGAATAGATAGATAGATAGATAGATAGATAGATAGATAGATAGATAGATAGATAGA